ACAACTGCGGTCAGGTAGGAGAGAGGAGGCGGGAGCTGGTGAGGTCACAGACTCTCCCCCGTAACATCGGCGCTCAGGCTCGGAGATCTATATTCGAGAGATTAGACTCTGAAGTCAGTCACAGGTGAGTACAAAGCAGATCTGTGATGGTTTGTCTTTGAAACTTCTGTACTTGGACATCTCTCTCTTATGCGTCTTTATTTTTTGTGTCCCTTGTGCGCAGTCGTCCTAAACCAGCAGGGCTCAAGCGCTCTCAGAGTTTTGGTGTGTCGACCGCCAGCAGCATCAAGCAGATTCTCCTTGAATGGTGTCGTTCCAAGACCATAGGCTACCAGGTGAAACATCTTAGTTTTTGTGATGGTGTGGGATCTTCTGTGGTGATTTGAGGTTAGATTTAAGATGCTTGGAATCCAGTAATTTATTTTATGCCCTGATTCATTTCTGGACTCTTCGAGTCAGACCTCATGCCAGCTCCTCCATGTGGTTTTGCTTTTGGTCACAGAAGTGTGGCAAAGTCCCGGCTCTCGCAGAGATTTAGCCACCGCTGAGAGACGCCGGTTTGATTGCTCGACGTCTTGCGCTTTGATTTAAGCCAAACTCCAGACGAATAAAGTGCAGCCTTTGCATGGAACGATTTCAAACTCTTGAGAGTGTCTGAGAGCAGTGAGGGAGAGGAGCGTCTGTTTAACCCATCATCATTATGGGCGAGACAGTGAGCGATGAGACGGGCTTTATGAAGCTACAACTGGCCGCCTGCTAGTTTTACAAGCTGGATAATTTTACTTTTAAATATTTGAGCGTTACTCTGTCATGCTTAGATCTCCATCGTCTTCCTGTTTGTTTCTCCGCAGAATATCGACATCCAGAACTTCTCGTCCAGTTGGAGCGATGGAATGGCTTTCTGCGCCCTCGTCCACTCCTTCTTTCCCACCGAGTTCGACTACAACGCTTTATCACCAGCCAATCGCAAACACAACTTTGAGCTGGCCTTTGGGACTGCAGAGTGAGTATGAAACTAAAATGCTTGTTTAACCTGACAGGAAATGGATGTATTCAAATCTACAGTTGGTGTACTTGGTTCTGTTTTCCGTCACTGCGGACAAAAAAAAGACGGATGGGTTTGATAGGGGCCGAGGTTTAGAAGCAGAGGATGAAGAATTTCATTAAGTTCGAGTAAAGATGAACAGATTTAACTTTAATCTGAACACCGAATCCTCAGAGATAAAGAAATATTGTTAGAATACTTCCTTCATTTGTCATGGAGCTTGCTTTGGAGCACGAGGAGTTTATGGGGCATCACAGCTTTACAGTCACTGATTAATATGGAAACTGCTGACATTTTAATTCTATACATTTCCATTTAAGGACAAAATGAAAACTTGCCTTCATTCCTAGATGAAAGCAGGAGTATCCTACTAAAGCCAGCCACGGTTTGATCTGCACTTTGGAACAATTTGTGTTTCTTAGGGTTATTGTCTTCATTGTCTTCACATGATTAAATATGAAACAAGTCTTACAGCAGACCTTACTATGCAAACTTCACTTCTTCCCACGTTTTTATACTGCCATTTACGTGCCTATTGTTTCTGAAAACAGTCCAAGCACAGCCAGTAGAGTGATTTAGTAATGAGAGTAATGAAGTGATTTAAATCCAGACGTTTTTTTTTCCACCATGAATGACTGCAGCTGTTTAAAAACAACTTTTTCCTGCACCTTTTGAAGGACGGTTAGTTTGGACACAGGCCTAACATTTTAAGGCAGGTTTTTGCAGCAAAGGTTGTGCAGCAGCATGTTTAAAGTGCTGCTAGAAGTTGTGTCGAACAACCCTTCCCAGATTAACAGGGGGCAAAAACTAGATATTAAATATTTAAACAGGTAAAGCTGTTTATGACATTTAACTTTTAACTTTACTCTCAAAATTAGCCCCTGCAGGATATTTAGTTTGGAGCAGCAATTATTATGCATGTCATGCAGTCTTAAAAAAAACATTCAAAGAACAAAGACATCTCCATTTTGCTGTAAAATTATAAAATGCTATCAAATCTAAACATCAGAGTAGAACCATTTAAGTTTTATTTATTTATTTTACATCTTGATGACAGCATAAAAGTGTCTTCTTTGTGTTTGATATCATTTTTTCTTCTTATATCTGGCAAAAGGTGTGCATTCCTTCTGTCTGACTCCATGACATCTTAAATCCCTGCTTATTGTGGCAGCACACAAACATGCTGCAAGCTGTAGATCTGACATCACACAGCCTGCAGCACAATCAGACATATAGATCAGGGCTTAGAGGCACCACTATCAGTAATGGGAATTATATATTCTTCGACTGCTGCTGAATTCATAAAACATTTCCCTGTTCGTTCGTGTTGCAGCCTTGAACTTTAATGTGCTTTATTGAGATTATGTGGCAGGCCAATATAAAGTAGTTGTGAAGTGAATTTGAAAAGCCCAGCAGCTTCTATACCAGGGTCTGCAGCTTTTACAACCTCAAAAGCCATTTTTACTCCCGGACGAGCCAAATAAAACTTGTTTCGAGCCACAAATGTCATACAACGTTTTGAAAAAAAAAAAAAAAAAAAAAAAAAAAAAAGGCCACTTATAATTTTAGGTCAATCTCTACTCTTGGAAATTTGTTGTCATATTTTTTTTTTAAATAACCACCATTTTATTTCTGTTTCCATGATTTAAAATAAAAATAAACAAACAATTCAGCAAAACAGGATACATTTTTATTCTGTGGGATGGGAAATTATTTAAAACAAAAAAAAGCACAGTGTCAAGGAAAACTGAGTGTAGTTACTTTTGCTTAATGCCATTAAAATTCTGTACTTTTATTTTGGTAACGGTAGCTATGGTTACAGAGCGCAGTTCTACCTGAAAAAGTTAACAGCAGTGAATGTAAAAGGTTACCAGCAAGGCTGAAAAACTAATAAAAGACACCTTAGTTTATCTTCAGTCAGTTGAGAAGGCTGGAGCTGATGGTATAACGATTATTATTGCCATCAAACACCGTAAGAGTTAAACAAGAAAAAATAAAAATTACAATCGTTTCACCATTCAAATAAACTTCAATATCCATTATTGACCTTGTTCCCCGTTTCACTGAAGCTAACTTAAGATGTCTGTTATCCGTTTTTCAGCCTTGCTGGTAACCTTTTACATTCACTGCTGTTAACTTTCTCAGGTAGAACTGCGCTCTGTTGCCATAGCTACCGTTACCAAAACAAAAGTACAGAATTTTAACGGCATTAAGCAAAAGTAACTCAGTTGTAACTGCACTCAGTTGGCCTTTACACTGCATTCACAGTCACAGCCTGAAGTGACCCAATTCCAATTTTTTTGACGTAATGCCACTTGTATCTGATCTTTTCATGACGGTCTGAACAGTCGCCTATGTATATGCCAAAAAAATCCGATTTGGCAAGAAATCTGAATTAGATCACTTCAGGCTGCAGTGTGAACGTAGCCTTAATGACAAGAAAACGTGATGGGAGAATCAGCTGGGAGAATCTGTCAACAGGTCTCATATTACTTATTTCTTCTACAAAACAGGCCTCTATGGAGGAGAAAAACGAAAAGAAGAGAAGAAGAGAAAGCCATTGTTGAAAGGAAAGCTATAATGATCCCTGTTTAAGGTTGACCACAAACCACAACAAACACAAGAAAGAAGGTGTTCTGGTCAGAAGAGCCTAAAATTTATGCTCCTCATGCAAAACCATGTGTGCTTGAGAGATTGCAAGCCACATCATCGTGAACTCATTACTCCCATGAAGGGAAGATGGATTCAGCCAAATACAGGAAAAACCTGAAAGAGATGTCAGTGAGAGTGGGGAAGAGGTTTATCTTCCAACAGGAAAACCGACCAAAACGTACAGCAGGAACTGCTGGTTTGGATCATATTCAGGTGTTCATACGGCCCAGTTAAAGTCCAGATTCAGAATCCAATTCAGTCCTGAAAAACAGGCCATATTTATCCAGACAGAGCCGTTTTAAAAGTAACATTAATAATCAATAATAGTACATTCTGGTCTCCAGATGTGCAAAATTAGTAGAAACATTCACCCTGCAAAGTCAGGCTCTTGGTTGCATTTTAGTTTCCTGTCTATTTCTCTGTTATGACTCGTCTTCATCTGTCCCCGTCCTCTCCTCAGAACCAAGGCGGGCTGTGACCGGCTGATCGAGGTGGAGGACATGATGATCATGGGTCGCAAGCCAGACCCCATGTGTGTCTTCACTTACGTCCAGTCGCTCTACAACCACCTGCGCAAGTTTGAGTGAAACTTGGGATTTTCTTAACCACTTGGCTTGAAATCAGCCATGAAACGCAGAGTTCAGGGGTTCCCAACGCCATATTGGAAAGGCTGGATCGCCCTCTCGTGGTGAACTGTTGTACTGTTCCCTCTTCGGCACAAAGGAAGCTGCTGCTGACTGTAAAAGCTGAACTCTTGGTACACATTTGAGAGATTTATTGTTGCTGGATATGATCAGCAACAACAAAGATGAACCTGCACACAGATGTCAGTGCTGATTTTCAGTTGTTAGGTTTTTTATTGACTTAGTGTGTGGGTGTGTTTGTTTGCATGCCTGTAGATGTTGAAAGTGAGTTTTTTTTTTCATCAGCAGAAATATGCTTTGTCTTATAAAATGACTAAAATCACCAGGTGTCTGCGATGCTCAGACCTGCTGCTTTAACGTCTGACACAATGTTAACCAAGAATACATGTGATGAGCTGCTGAGTGATATTTCCATCCTGATATGCTGTGGGTTGTTGTGTTGTTAGGATGCTGAAAAAAAGAACTGAAATAAAAATGATTCAATAAGGAAATAAAAGTTGTGAGAGTGGTGACATGCAGCACCATGCTGAAAGGTTTACAGTCATCTCTTTGATTCCAGGTAAACTTTTTTATGACAAAACAGGCATAAAAATATGGAAACAATTTTTTAAAATATGAAAATGTTACATCTCTGAATGGGTTTGGAGAAAATATTTAATGTGGTAAAGATGGAAAAAATATAAAGTTTTAAAAGATGCATCACACGAATCTAAAGATAAAAACTGCATCGTCAATTTAAATGTGCCTCAATCAAGTTCAAAGATCTTGAGAATGTTATGATACTTGATATATACTCTGCAACAAGGTATATTTATATGATGGCATGATGCCATGTTGATCCCAAAGATTATCAGGAGTCTTAATCTGGGACTTGTTTGTGGGGAAATGGGGGTGTTTAGAGTTTACTAGATTAAAAAACCCCATGACCTACTTGGAGAAAAATACTCAACATTTGGTAAAAATAAAGATTTTTCTTTAGAATCAAACTGAATTTTTTGGGTCAACAAAAAGGGAATAATATTGGGTTTAACAACATCCATTCTTTTAACCAAATTCCCTGATATTAGCTTATTGAGCAGAGCTGTGTAACTATGACGGAAACAGCTGAAGACATCTCGATGCGATATGAAAACCTGCCTGTCAATAACCGAGGATTATCGAGGTCCGTGGAACACCTTCATCTGCAGAGCCCCGTCTAATCTGGAGCGGGATTTAACAAGCTCCCGACTCCTCCTCATCGTCAGCCTGTGCGGACGCGGCGCGGCAGAAGTTTGTGTCTCTGCGCGGGTGAAGAAGCGATGGCCGGGATTTTGGACTCTGAGTTCCCTCTGATCAAGCAGAAGCAGCAGAAGGAGCTGGTGGATCCGAAGATGCTGTTTGGAGATCAGGAGACCTGCAGAGGTGAGAGGAGATGATGCTTGCAGTTTGCTGACCGCAGTTAGATTACTGCAACAAAACCGTCAAAGTTAATCATCTGCAGGTGAAAACTGTTTCAAATTGAAAAAATAAAAATACAAGAAATATTTTTATTACTACTACTACTACTAATAAGGGTTAGATGTGGCTCAGTGTGAAGGAGTAGTTGATTCTATGGTTGCAACTAATAATTATTTTAATAATTGATTATTCTGACAATTAAATGATTAAACAAATGGCTCATTCTGGAGATTATTCATTTAACCACTTTGTACAGTTAAAAATACTCTAAAACTGCAATTTACTTTTTTAAATAAGAACCTTTTTTTGCATAAAATGCAATAACATTGCTTTCCTTCAGTGTACACTTGATCGTTTGAAGCAAAAATCGTGTCAAGTTTATTTCTACAAGATTATCTCAGCAATAAGGGAGTTCAAAGTGCTTTTCATGATAAAAACATAATACAGTAACCAATCACGAAACAAGAAGCAAACATTACACTTTGTCAAATGTCATCATCAGGAATAATTATTATCAAAAATATTAATGTTTTTAATCAAAGACAACACTAAACGTGGGTTTTTAACCTTGATTTAAAGGAACTCAGCATTTCGGCTGTTTTGCAGGTTTCTGGAAGTTTGGTCATAAAAAGGATGAATCTGTAGCTTAAAAAATGTCTAATGTCAGCATGTGAAAAGCTCAGTAATTTCTGCTTAATTTAACATCAATATATTGTAGAGAATGATTATTTTTCAACAGATCTGAGTGGAACATATTTACAAAGAAAGAAGCTTTTTGTAAAAATATGTATATAGTTTGTACAGTTTTAGCTTAACTGCTCTGATTTCAGTGTTTTTTTTTCAGTCAATAGCCTTTTTTGAGTCTGTATGTTCCAGTAAATAATTAATTGATTACTACATGACAATTACTTCAATAATTGATTTGTCACAATTAATCAGATTAATTGTTTCAGTCGCTTCCAGGCACTTAGCCTCAAGTTTTCTGCTGATGTATTGATGTATGAATGTGTGTAATATAGAGTTTTAATTAATAGAAAAGCACCAAATAAATTCAGTCCATTTACGATTATTACTCTTCTTACTACTTACAGACAGATAGATGCCACCTTTAATAATAAAAACTGTAAAATGGATGTATGTGTGGGAGGAAAATCAAAAGGCCTGACTCAAGAAATAAATACATTTTTAAATATCATAACATAAACATAAATTCTACTTGTACAGACTTTGACTTATGTGTCCTAAATCCTTCCTCCACCAAAACAGTCCCCCATTCATTCCCGTTTTTTTCCTAACAGATGATGTAAGTATTGTAGTGTATTTACTTTCCTCAGTTTTCTGTGTGATTTGTTGCTCTAAGATGGTCGTAGTGAGAGCACTGCGTCCTGTCAGGAGCCGGACAGATGCCCCGCTTTGATGGAGGGCCAGAGGAAGAGGAAGAGGACCATATTTAGCCGAGCCCAGCTGTCTGAGCTGGAGCAGGCCTTCGCTGTGACTCCGTACCCGGACATCACCCTCAGGGAGAGGCTGGCTGCACACACACACCTGCCAGAGAGCAAGATACAGGTGGGATTCAGTCTCCAACTTTATCAAATCAGAATATTGTACACCAGCTGTTAGTGAGGAGATAAAACGTTCATTACTCTCTAAAAGATCTATTTGGGTTGTAATTCGTGTTATGGATTTATTTACATTAATCCCACTTGATTCTTTTAGTTTTGTGAGGACAACTTACAATTAAATTCAATACTGTGTTCGTATCCTAAGTCTGACGTCATGACGCAGGCTCCACCAGGGACAGATCCTACATCGATCGGGGTAAAGCACAACTCTCATAAGGAGACTTTAGTACTCGATGCGACCGCCACAGGTTCAATTACCTCAGTCTTCCCTCTCTTTCATTACCCAATTTCCTGTCTAACTACTCTCAAATAAAGGCTGCCTGAGCCAAAATAACCCTATAAAAATATCCTTTGTTAGTTTACTAAATTATTTGAGTAAGACTGACTTAAATTTGTCAAGTTAAACCAACTTAAATTAAGTTGGATAAACCTAATTTAATTACTTGTTACCAATTTAAGCAATTCACTTAAGTTGGTTCAACTATTTTCTTCTTTCACTGTATTTCCATTCAGTTTTAGTTTATCTGTGTATAGTTATGTGGATAAATTGGGGAGGAATTAGGAAGTAATATCAAGAAAAACTTTTATAAAATGGAGTTAATATTTTTCACCATATATATTGTCACCGATATGAAAAAATGAAAAACCTCATTGAGGTGTTCAGTTGACCCCATCAAGGTGTTTCATTTTTTTTTCACCAATTAATATCAAATATCATCTTGAGTTACTTTAAAACAAACTACCCACATTAATATTCAACCGTAGAAAAGCCTATAAAGTCCAATTTAAAGTCACGTTAACCCGATGATCAGCCTCATTTTCTCCCTACCAGGTCTGGTTTCAGAACAGAAGAGCCAGAAGTATCAAAACAGGCAGACTCAGCAGACCCACCAAGTCCGACGGGGCAGGACGGGGTTTCCTGGAGCCCCCTGCTGGACATGGGGCCTCCGCTTACCCAGCCACAACCGGCCTGGCGGATATATTCAGGCAGGATCAGAGCCACTCCTGTGAGGAGGTGCCTCCTCTTTACTCCGACTGGATCCAGATTTACAGCAACCAGGCGTCGTCCACGCCTCCTCCGTGTCCGTCCCTTCCTCAGCAGCTCCAGAGCTGTTCCAAAGCGCCAGACGGTCACCGCTGGGAGGAAGAGCAGCAGCTGGGCTCGAGATTCAGCAGCTTCATTACTGGCTCATTTCCGCAGCCAATCAGCAGGCAGAGTCATCACCATCCCTCCACGCGCTCGTACCAGGCGTTTACGAACTTCAAACCTCAGAGCCTGGCTCCGCCTCTGACCCATCAGCACATGTATGGAGGCAACGCTGCAACTGGAGGACACAGCTCAGTGGACCAGGTTGTCCCTTCACACCCTCAACCAATGTACTGGGAGGTCACTCAAGGTCAAGGTCACCGCCATCATCATCATCATCATCATCATCCGCAAATAGGACCTCAGACTTCCATGGGATACATCTCAGATCTGATCTACAATGCCGCCATTGTGACCAATTTTCTTGAGTTCTGATGACCAATGAACATATTTGGACCCATTCCTGTCCAATTTAGTAATTGATAAATCGTTAACTGGAGTATACAGATTTAAAAGGGTAATTTTGCTGAAAGAGCAACACAGATTAAGCCATAACTGTACAAAAAATATACACATTTTGCATTTAACCCCCCTCTCCCCCGCCGCCTTTGTGAATACCCTAAACTCCTCGAGTGGCACAGCTTCACTGGGTTCAAATTCTGTATAAAAAAAAATCCATCTGGTACCTAATTATTAGATCAGCTCTACACTGTAATAATGTTAAGACGAAATATTTTTCAGATGCAGATGCATCCTTTAAAACAAATGATCACACATGCACTAAATGAAAATACACTTATTTTATTGCATTTTAGGCAATAAAATGTTTATTTTCTTATTTAAAAAAGGAATAGATTCATGTTTATTTGCATCTTTCTATGTATTTCTAAAATTGCTTAAAGACTTAAGTGGTTAAGTGAATTTTTTTTTATCTGATTAATCGATTCAACGTCAAAGAAAAGGACAGAATAGTTACTAAATTAATACTTACAGTCCTACCTCCAAGTTACTTTTTGTTCCTATCCTTCTTACTTGCTGAATGTATACCAGATTGTTAAATAGTACTGCTGTTGTTGTCTGACATTTTGTAATGCTGTTTTGTAATCAATATAAAAAAAATATTAGGACATTATCTGACACCTGCATTGTAATAATGTTTGTCTGAAGCTAAGTATTTTTGGTTTTACACATGTAGTAATTTATTAAACCAGGCTTGAGCCTTACTGAACTTTTTTGACTCCAGAATTCATGCGCATAGCACAGATGAGCTACATTTCACATCAGACCAAGTCAACCACAGTATGGTTATCTTGTTTGTGACAAAGTAAATCCCACCTTTATTAAATCGGGTTTGAGTTAGTTCGCTAACTGGCTAACAATTTGACTATTTTTGGTTAACTGTTTGGCTAACTGTTTGGTTATTATTTGACGAACTAGCCAGCTAGCTAACCTGCTAATTAGCTAATTGACCATCCAGTTTTATTTTTGGAAAGCTGAGTTTAGCTCTTGTAGAGTTAGTGAATAATTTAATGTAAAATCTGTCTGGTAACATAAAGTAGAGTATAAAATGTCAAAAGCAACACCTCATGTTCAAATCTGACAAATATCACGGTCTTGTAGCACACCAGTGTTTTTGTTTTCAACTACCAATTGAAAAAAGTTGGATAGAATTTCTGACTATTGCATTAAATTAGATTGGATTAGAAGAGATTTATTTCAAACATGTCAGAAAACACAAAACATCTTTAATCCTTTTTGTCAAAACTTAATCAATTTTGTGCCAACAGCTCAACATCATTAGAAAAATAAATACGTACATTTTACATGTGGCTTACAGCTCAGTAACACATATTATTTGAATAGCATTATTCTGGTTAAATGTTAATGTCCCATTGGTGTAGCTGATGAATCTGTAACTGCTTTAAGCTCAGTAATATAATAGTACATAGTAAAATGTATAATGGCTTAAAATAAGTATGAAGATTTCTAAACTATTTTCAGCCTTCAACCAGAACTAATTTACACAATAACTCAAGACTGTTTTCTTTTTTATATACTGCTGAACATCAATAAATATGCCAGATTAATTAAATGGCCAATTTTACTTTATGAAAAAAATAATTCTCAGTCATCCACAGTATACAGGAACTTAAAAAAAAGTTTAGGTAACATTAAACTAATCCAAAAAATACACTAGGTTAGGGATCTTTTTTGTACATCTTTGCTAGTCTTTAAATGTGGAGGTGGGCTAATTAAAAGTAACAACAAGCAGCAAACAAACATAAATCTGTTTATTCTAAATATTTATTTGTAAATTTAGAAGATATAAAACCATTTGATCCACCTTCAAGTGAACCGTAAGTGAAGTTTTGTCCTCCCAGATGCAGGCTTGTGTTTTCCTGCATGACATGTTTAACTTCTGTGACCCATGAGTATTATCCTTCCAAAGTAATACCGATTAAAATGATTACTTGGGGTAAGATATGATGACAGGAATAATTATTTTCCTATATCAAAATATTTTCCATAACTCTCTGTATTCTAAGAATAGGGGGTTTAGATGGACAAGAGGAAATGAAAAAAATAAATAAGAAAAATAAGAACTAAATTAAAGCCAGAGCTCAAGGTCTATCAGCTTACAGGCCAAATAATTCGGCATGGATTTAAGTTTTGAAATATTACATGAGAGGGGTATAATACTCAGGCAAACATGACAGACAGGAGAGCTGGACACAGATCGCTCTATATCATAATCATCTTTAATACCAAATAATCTTTCAATAAACCTTTAATCCGGGTGTCAAATCGCAGATCTTAGGAGGATACTTTATTGTATTCCAGATGTGGTTACATCTTTTAATCCATCCACTGATGTATCAGGACTTGACAAGAGTGGTGTGGTTTACAAAAACATGAATTCATATCTGGGGAAGAGATCAGGGAAAAACTGATCAGATTTTAAATTAGATGTGTGTTGTTGATCATTGAGGTATAAGAATGGGATATTGCAGCCAGTTAATGATTTGTTTTTGTTGCTTTTTTGTCTAGGTTGATTCCCAAACATCAACCTGAATTAAAGAAAATAAAATACTTTACATCTCTTTTCAACTTTTTCTGCAGGTGGAAAAAAAAAATCACTTCTAGTTTTATTGAGTCTTAATGAAAAAAAAAAAAGTAGATATTGTTGCATTTGAAAACAACCGAATAAAAACATCAACAGGATAGAAAAACAAAAAGTTTAGAATAACAAACAAGTGAAGAATATAAGTAACATGTCAAAAAAAGTTCAACAAATGTATTTAAAATAAATAGAATTAATAAAAAACAAAAATCTAAACATCTGTAGGTAATTGATTTTTTTTTTAGATTTTTTTTTTTACAGTTGCTATGGTTCCCCTAGTTCTCCCTCCATGGTCCGGACCAGGACATAGAGCTCAGCCAGTCCAACTACAGATGCAGCAATCACGGCTGATATCACCCTCTGAAACAAACAAGGAATAGTTAACAGAAGCCTGTGAGGGACAAATTTAACTCAATAAAAAAAAATACATGACTAAACGCAGTGCCTAGTAAATACGGCTGAAATGTTTTGTTAAACCGAGGAAGTTTTAGCATGAAGGTTGAGCCTGATTGAGCTATTCACATGTAAATATTTCACAATATGTCATATTGCAAAAACAAACTTAAATTTATTTCAATTTAATGTGACAGACCAACACAAAAATTAAATAATTGTGAATTTGAAGGAAAAATAAACAATTTTTGCCAGGTTCAGTCAAGCAAAAGGTTTACTTTTTCCATATGTTGATGTAAGAAGTATTTCTTAAGCTCCAGATGCATCCTTTGAAACAAATGATCAAGCTTACACTAAGTGAATGCTATGCTTTTGCATTTTCTTATTTCAAAAGGGAATTGGAACCTAGAGAAACTCCTTCTAGTTTACAAATCTAGAACAAACATGGAAAGTACCATCTACTTTATAGATCTAACAGAGAACCAAAATCTAGTTTTTATCAGAACAAGAATCCAGAGAAACCCCCACTAGTTTATAAATTATGGACTACTTATTCTTATTAAACATGGGGAACCAATATGTAGTTTTATACTTTTACCTTTTTGTCTTTCTTTTGATTTGTTTCATTTGTTTTTTTCTTATTATTCATGCAAAGCACTTTGAGCTGCCTTGTTGCTGAAAATGTGCTAAATAAATAAATTACCTGACCTTGAAAAAATTGTTTATGTGCACAGTTCAACATGCACACCACAATTTCCAGAATTTTCTTTTTTTGTTAAAAATTATTTAAATCTACACTGTTATTAAAAAACAAGGCAGTAGCTGGAATAGATTAGAATTCATGTATGACTGAAGGTTCCCTTACCGTTGCGGTTTCAGTAAATAAATACTGGCTTCCCATGTAAGAGCAAGCAAAAGCAGCAACTAAAGTCACCAGGAAGTTGAAAACAGTCACCACCACTGCTTTTACCGAGCGCACTGAGGAGAAAAGGGAATAAAACCAGTTCAAGTCACACAGTTTAAAGCCTGTTGCCAACATGAACAAGAAAGAAGCCATCACACACTGACCTTGCTGACCAAAATCTGCAAGTGTGCCATTTCGGTTCATTTCCTAACAATAAAAACAGAAATATTTTTGATAAGAACATGGATGCAGGTTTAGTTCAGCATTGTGTTTTCTCATCCATACAGTTTTAACATGCACCTGAGTGTTGACATTACGCGTCATCCTGTTGTATTCCTCATTAGCCAGTTTCGCTTTGATCTTCTCAAGACGTGCCACTAACTCAGGATTCTGAAACAAGAACCAAAAGTCAGACTTCAAATTCATTAAGACAATAATGAGGTTTTTTTTTTTTTATTAGGGTCTTTGTGCTTTAATTTACATCTTGATTTGGCCTTATCTTATTGCCATATTTGATACAATTTATTATAGTATACTGAACGATAGTCTAAAAAAGCAGTTAGGATTTATTGATGCTGTGGTGAAATAGTTTAATTTTACTTGGCAGGCTGCAGTTGTTTGTGCCAACTGTAAATATGAGCAAACAAAGATCAAATATGGAGTTCCTCAGGGCTTTGTTCTTGGTGACTCTAAACCAATGTTGTGGTTAACAATATTCACCCCAATGTTAGTGATTTACAAAATAAAAAAAATTGGTTAGGCTTAAAGAACCTCCTGCAGCTACGCCACAAGGGAGTATTTTGTCGTTTTATTTGTTTATGTCATTGGTTCTTAGATGTGAAATGTATGTAACACATAAGTCTGTATTTTAATGCAACTTATTTCAATATAATTATTTTTTCTGTACTTTTAATCATCTTGTAAGGCCCATTGAGACGTGCATGGCCTTACCCTTTGAAAGTGAGGTGCTAAAATGTTATTGGTTTAAGATGTGGAATATGAGCTACATGTTAGTCACTGCTACATCTGCCATCAATGTGTGGTCTTAAAGCCATAAAATAATAATAATTAAAAAAATAATGAATAATATTCCAACAAATGTTAATTATGTAGTGTTGGCCAGGTGTAGTTAGTGTTATGTAGAGTAATGCTCTTACTCTGGGAGGCTTCACGACTTCAGGCAGGTGCAGTGAGCTGTCTTCCAGTAATTGATGAAGATAGAAAGGATGGCCTTAGAAAACACAATAATGAGTTACTTTATGTGCACTAAAGGATGTAATATTATTACTGAGCACCACAGTCGTGTTTCCGTTCACCTTTATCCTGAAGGTGTTTCTTCAGCTTCCTTGCTGTGCTGAAAGGCAGGACTGTTGGCTTTGGTTTTTCCAGGATTTCCATCAGTTCTTCTTTAAGTCCTTCAGGCAGGGATGAGTCCGGGGTTCCCAGCAACTCTGTCATCCGACATCTGAATTTGTCTCCAACAACAAATGAAGATGCCATAATGTCGATGAAGCTAATAAAGACCAAGAAAACTGTCGCTAAACGACACAGCTGTGTAAATCCTCAGTCCTGCTCTGAATTACGCACAAAGTGCCTGGAAACGCGCAGTTTGTATTAATAACTGAGATCATACAATGTTGGCTTTTAACGAATACTAGGAGTTCGATGTTATAAAAATATACGCGGCCATGTTTGTCTTGTGACATATGTTGCGTTCCAGTTACCTCGGAAGTTTGAACTCCAACCTGGGTTTGACGTCAGTTAAAGCGGAATTTCAACATTCCCCATAAACATTTACAGTACCTCTTACAAATCCAGTTTATAGTTGTGGAAGCTACATATAACATTGATTTTAGACACACTCTTACATGCGGGCTTTGTAAAGTAATCGTGTTTCCACCATGCCTTACTACTGCTGATGCGAGAAGCGGACATATTAAAACGTGATGTCTGTCTTACAAGTCCTAATTGGGGATAGCAGGAGTTACTCCCAATTTATACGTGGGAAATCTGACTTCTGAAGGCGTTCGAGATGATTTTTCCCACTGGGAAGTCGGAATCTCCAAGTTCCGAGTATAACTGGAACGCAGCAACACTCAGACCCACGTGACAAGTTATATATAAGCAGCAACACTCAGACCCACGTGACAAGTCTTTATATATATATATATTTTTTTTTTAATATTGAACCTTATCGGGTTTTGGAAATCAACCTTTTTGCTATGTGTTGGTGGTAATAATGCCAGAAATAAAAAATTTTATCACCACGAATTTTGTTCGTTACATTACACGTTAACATTGTTGGTGTATTCATGGTTCGCTCGTTTACCTGAAACTCCTTTCTGACAAGTTTGTGCATAGTTACGTAAATTCATACAATCCAGCCAGTTTTTCTTCAGCATATCAACATGAACAATTTACAACTGCACCAATCAGCAAAAATAATAATAATAAATATGTGGAATGCAGAGTTTAGCGGCCAGAATCTCGTTACTGCCACTTTATGAACGTTCCGTGAAGGCAGCATCCCGGTTTGTGTGTGCGTACGATCGCTCAGGCAGAAAGGAAAGATGGCCGCCTGTGCACTACGTAGAGGGTTGCTTAGCGGTGTCAGCAAATACAGCAGAAAACACTCCCATAGAATACTGAGTGTCACTGACATTAACAGCTGCTTTGAGGTGTACAAGCCACGGTTACAATGCCGAGCCTGCGGGTTGCTCGGCGGTGTTCAACAAAAGAGGTTTATGTCGTCACGGTAAGAGACAGAGCGTCCTTCTGTCAAGCTAACACATACACACGAGAGGCTGTAGCTAGGTCCGTCATGCTTACTTATCTGGCCCCGGAAAAGCAAAGCTTTGGTCATTCTCGCAGAGCAGACTTCTGGATATTGTGTACGCTAGGTGTGCTATAAGGGATTATATTATGTGTTAGAAAACGAGACATCTGCTGATCGTCCAGCTCATGCTAGCTAGCCAAGAAGCCAGCATGGGTTGAGCAACAACTGCCTGATCCAAACGCCTCCAGCCTGCTCAAGTCAAATCGTTGAATGCTGGATAACATGAACAACACATGTTTTATGAAGCCATGTTTTATAGAAAAGTTGTGAGTTGAATGCAGTCTGTAAGTAAAAAGCTGCAGATGAACTCTGCTAAACTTAATTGTTAAGCGGAGTCCGGATTCCAAATCCACTGCTGTTTTCTTATCTGAAAACAACAAAACACGTTTAATATGATTATAATAATTCACTGTTACACTTGTGCAAACTTTCTGTCAACTTTCCACAGTGTTGTTGTTGCATATTTACTTTAAAATCATTCAGTTAGTTGTTTCTCTGTTTAACTTTGGCAAACACACCGTTTCCACATTGAGACAATGTCGTCAGTGGCCACTTGATTAGCTTAGCCTCTAAGAAGCTTTTCTGGATCCTTAATAATATCCTAAATCTATTTAGTAAAGGCCAATTAATTGTAATGGGAAGAAAACTGTTATAGATATGTAAATAATGCCTTTTGTATTTTGGTGATGTTTGCTTTTGTACAGGCAAGTTTATTTTTAAATACGTTAGCAATTATGTATTTTAAAAACAAACAAAGCAGCAACCATAATTGCTACCTTGTCAAGATTAATTTAAATCTCTGCTTCCCCTTATAATCTATTTTATAGTAAATTATGACTAGCCAATGTGTCCATCATGACTTCACAAATACCAGTGAAATGCCTGGTAATGTTTGCCAGTATTTTTCCTTGTTGAGACTTGTGCGTTCTGGCAAAACACAGAACTTTGAGTGATCATTCACTACTGGAAAGATAAACAACCGACTTAAATACCCCTTAAACATCAAATATGGCCAGTCACCAGGCACTACCTTGTTATCAATGCAACTCAAGTTGTTTTTGGGATGTTATTTAGAGAGAAAGTCACTGTATTATTTTTTTTTTTTGTAATCAGGACTAAAATCCATCATGTGTCACGAATCGAGAGATAAGAGCCAATTTAATCTTAACAGGGTGTGATTTAATATCATGTTTTGAAAACAAAGTTTGGGATGCAAAATAGTGAATGGATTAAATGCTGAAATGGCCATCATCAGACACAGTCAGCTCCAGAAACAATAAAGCAAACATTACACTGCAGAGGACATCCTGTTGTCATCCACTGATAATCCTCACAACACACCAGCTATCCTCGTTATGGCAGCTGTAAAAGCTTTCAAAGTAACATTAGTGCTTATTTTGGATAGATTGTTTTCTGAGCGCTAATCTAATGCTGATAAAAGTATCTGCAAAGTGTTTTAAGTTCATTCACACTCAGGCCAGAATGGGAGTCTGTGCTTTTCTCGTTCAGCATCTCGTTTGTCTACGAGATGCTGTAAATAAACATTTAAATTAATGTATCTAAATGAAACTTCTTATCACTTTGATTTTCTCAGGTTTTTTTTTTCGTCAGCGATAAAGTCTGAGAAGACATTAGTGATTTGCAGAAGAGATGCAACGAACTGTTGCCTCGCTGAGTTGTGTAATTAAACCACAGATATTTAACACAGACCTGCTTTGTTATGAAACATGTTGAAGTCTGCTTGCTTGTGCAAAAGTTCTCAAGATCAGATTTCAGTTTGAGGTTTCCCTGCAAAAAGGGAGTATTTTGCCTTGAAGAGATTTTAGGAAGAGAGCTAAAGGAAATGTTGAGCTGTAGAAATCGAGTTTGACGTTCTTGACCCTGTTCATGTTGTTTTAAAACAAAATTGCCTTTAAAAGTTAGAAAAAATGTTGCTTATTTGTGTAAAAGCTCCTCCACAGCGGGAACTGTGCTCGTATCAGCCACAGTTAGTGTTTTAACTTGAACTTTCATCTTGTGTGTTTGTGTTGTTTTGACCAGAAATCACATGAAGCTATCCTAACAAACCATGATCCAGCACATTTTTGTGTCTTTTGCCTCTCTTAATCCAGTCATGTGATCCAGGCTTACAAACTATTAATAGAAACATTTGCACACTCATTTTGACTTTGACCGTTTTGCTTCCTGAACAGGTTTTGATGGGCTTGGCGCTGCTTCTGGGAGCTCAGGGCTGCAGCTGTGACTTGTTGGTTTAAGGAAGTTATTGGATCCGTTAATTGTTGCTAAACCTTAAGCTTTATAATAATAAATTATTGTTTCTTGTTTAAAAGTTCACAGCTTTGCCAGACTCTTCATTGGTTATTGTTTACATGCAGTAAATAGCAGTTGGTGTTTAGTTTTGCACGTCACTAAAAGGTTTAGCAGCTGACCTTCAGCCTAGAGAAACTTAAATATAGCAACAGGATGTTTGTGGCTCTCAGGGCTGAGACTGTGTTCAACAAACACATTAATACACACATTACAACCACAAACTGTATCGTATTATATGTGGACAAAGTTTTCAAAACATCTAACATCAACGTGTGAAAAGCTCAGCCGGTTCTGCTGGACTTAAAATCGATGCAGTGTTGATTATTTTAGGATTAACAGATTTAAAAATTGGATGGCAAATATGCTTAGAGGATTCCTTTTTACAGAATTTGAAACAAAAGCTGTGCCACTTTAGGAGTTGTACGGTTTTTTTTGTTGTTTTATTTTGTTTTTTATATATTTTATTTAAACATCCAACAACAACAGGGCATTGACCACAGGGACAAGAAAAAGTTTTTTTTAATCTGAAATGCAAAATTAAATTTTTTGTACAGCTTTGGTTTAATTACTGCTCAGAATATGTTGTTCTTGGCTTTTTTTGAGAACGTACACTCCTGTTAACAATTAATTGATTTCTGGATTAATTACTTTAATAATTAATTCATTAAAGTTGATTCAATCAATTGTGTAAGACCTTCCACCTACCCAGAAAAAATAGTTTGTTTGAAATTTCCTTTTTTTGTTGTGCTCCTCTCTAAAATCTTAAAACAGTAATACATATTATAATATATTTTCAGGCAGTATTTCATGTCAGTGCTTTCATTTAAGATTAAAATCCTTGGTTTGGACCATGGCTCGTTTTTATAACCATATTTCTCACAGCGAAATCCAGTTACCTTGCGGTGATTGTTTTTGCAAAAATCAAAAGCCAAAACCTGAAACCAACTTACTGTGCGATATTAAATCCTCTGGTCCACATATCCCAATCATTAATCCGCCCCTTCATCTGTGCTGTGAAGATTAGCTTTCACAAGTGTGAGCGTTATTCACTCGAAGTGACCAGCTGTTGTCGTCATCATCGCCGGTCGAGCGTTGTGTATTGAAGATAGACGCTCTGGTGTTTCTGTCAGGGCTGGAGTTCGGATTGGGCCTTTTTTCTTTACAGATCAGTGGTTGTTTTTACCACACCTTGTGTTTTGTGATTAATACCGACTGACTCGTAGCTGCGTGTTTGTGTGCGTAACTGCGTTGCCTGTATTTTGGCAGGAACAGGCCTGAAGGAAAGATTTTGGAGCCTGTCGGTGTGTTTGAAGCAGTGAAGCAGCATGGGAAATACGAAACAGGACAGGTAAGGCTTTCAGATGAACCTGCAGCAGAGCACGCCGTTGCTTGACATGGCGGCCATTAGCGGCTGGATTTACAGCACTAAATAGTTAAAACTTGTGCACACATGGTTATTGATGTGCAAATCCATGTTTAAAGTGCAAAGGTGCTTTTAAAAGTTCTTTTAAGTAAAGATGGTACCAGTAATGAAGATCTCTTCTTTACACTTCAATTTTTTTTTTTTCATATAAATAAATCTCAGTGTTGTTTTTGCATGTGTAATCCCATCTAATCTGTGCTGTATCTCAGGGATTGATCTATTTTCTCTTTCCTTGTTGTTGTTGTCTTCTCAGCTTTTTCTCCACAGTGTGTTTGGCTACAGAGGCATTGTCTTGTTTCCGTGGCACGCCCGCCTTTATGACCGGGACATCACCCCTCCGGTGTCCGACAGGTAACCCCGCATCTCAGACTTGCTCTTAAAGTTTAGTAGCTTTGCTGGAGGGGTTATTGAAATAAAATTTTCTCCCGCAGCAAACCCGAGCCACCCGGCGCCCACGGCTCTAAGGAGGTGAAGGGGAAGACTCACACCTACTACCAGGTCCTCATTGACACCAGGGATTGCCCTCACATAGTAAGTAGCAGCCACTTTGTTCAGCCTGAAGCTTCTGTTTGTTTTCAAGTAAAACTTTGCTTATTGAATGTCCAAACAAAAAATGTCAGATTGTTCTGGGTAAAGACACCAAGCATTCTTTGGTCATTTCTCTAAGACAATAACAATATCATCAAGGAAAATTGGTTCTTTTAGTTTACTTAAATAAATATTCTTTGTTGATCTACATTTGAATAATGATCCAGAGGTATTTCTTTCAGTGCTTACGCAAAATAAGCTAACACAACGGATCCTACTTCAGGTTAAAACACTAAGGATTTCCTCCACATGCATTCAGTGCATCTTTAAAATATTAACACATAATCTAAATTAGCTGCAACTATACATAAGAACATTAATAATACTGGTGCCTTTCTTACTGCTGCTCAACTGCAGAATCTTATTGATAAGTTTACAGCTAGAAGATGTTTGGACGAATGATGGTCGTCAGTTGAAATAGATATTTCTTTATGCATTTTAATAGAGATTCGGTGAGTAACCTCAAATTAATAACCATCATTTAAATGCTTTTTATTATTGTTCTGAAAGTGAAGCCACATTAGACGAGTCAAAGCTTTATCTTTGTAGCTGTGACACGTTGCTGTTGTGCGTTAGATTTAATGTTATTGGGCGAATTTGTTCTGTGTTCGACAGTCTCAGAGATCTCAGACTGAGGCAGTGACATTTCTGGCCAACCATGACGACAGCAGAGCCTTGTACGCCATCCCAGGTAACCAGCAATACTGACACTCGGGGATCTGACTTACATATTTCTAATATTATGTTTTAAACAGGGTTGAAAAGGGTAGGATTTGTTTTTCTATGCATAAACTGTTTGTTTATCTCTTCGTCAAAACAACAAAATTCTTTAAGCGCCTTGTAAATACTGTCCTTTTGACATCATTTTCTTTAATTTGCCCACTTGCACATTTCATTTAATATTTGTATACGTTTTATTTTGGTTTTTACTTGCTGAATATTAATAAAAAATGTAACTAATTTAAAAAGTCAAACCATTTTACTCCATGTTTCGTCTGTATAGGAGATAAAGTTAAACTGTGGTCCTTAAATTGGGTCTAGTCAACAAAAATAAAGATACCAAAGTTCATAAACTTCTTTAAATTATAAATATTTAATCTTATTTGACCAGAAGTTACAGATTTTGAAACAAAAGTGGTCTAAATAAGTTCTGATGATACAAAAAAAAAAGCAGTGGAGTAGCCGATCCACTTTGCAAATCAAAGGCCAAAATTAGCATTGTGCTGTTTTTCTTTTTTTTTTTAGGAAATAGGTGTCAAGACTGATACCGAAGCAGTTTAAAGGCTAAAAGTTAAATTGTCCCAGAAATTATTGGGATAAACGATAATATTGTTGTTTTGTGACCATTTTCAAGCAATGTAATGGTAATGACATAATAATGCAAGAACACATTCTTAAAGATAAATAAACTTTAAATTCTAACTAACCTCAAATTTAACGCTTGAACTGGAAGACATGCTAAATATCCAAAATAAATAAACAAAAACAGGGAATAAAAAAAAAATCAATTATGAATCTCTGTAAATAAAATTATCCTTCAAAAAAAAGGTTTAGTTGAGACCAAAACTCCAGATTGAATAATTTTGTCATCCAGTTTTTGGTAAAAAGAGAAAATGATAAATTACGCTGATACAGATTATTGAGCTCGCTTTAATCTACCATTGATTTATTGTTTATTGTGTCAGGCATAATAATATCTAGAAATTTGAGTCTGGAAAATCAGAGGCGTCATAAAAACCCTTCTTATGTTCAGAGTTTTCATTGCTGGAGTTGAATAACAAACGAGAGGCGGTATTTCTAGGAAAGTGAAGGCGAGTTTGACTGAATCTGTGATTTGATATAATTTACTTACATGTTTTAAACGGAGCTCTGAAGTTCAGGCTTCATGCTGTTGTGTGTGGCTGTCATGTGACCGTGTGTGCGTGTTTGTTCCTCCTCCAGGTCTGGACTATGTGAGCCATGAAGACATCCTGCCTTATAACTCGGCAGAGCAGGTCCCAATCCAGCATGAACTGTTTGAGCGCTTCCTCATGTACAACCCGGCAAAATGTAAACACTCACCGTCGTCTTCTGCTTTCAGCATTTCTCTCACCTTCACGTTGCATGCTAAATCACTGCGACAGCTTTGAGCTGAATCAGAACAGGGAAGCGGACGTAAAGTTGTTTCCTCTATGACAGGGATCGTTGGACCTTCCACACTTTCTATTCATAAATTTGATGAAAAGAAATAAACAACTGACTTAAGTAAAGATGTAATAACAAATACAGGTTTTAGCGGTTTTTCAGATTTTTTTTTTTTAATGGAATGATTGCACTATGAAGAATGACTCCAAAACAACCAGTAATATTTGTAGGTGTTTGTTTTTGTCAATAGGTTGAAAATTATGTGCTTTTTCAGAATCATCTTTTAAAATTTTGACTTTGATATTAGACACCAGGTGTAAATATAGAAACTTTGGTTTTATAACATTTTCAAAATATTCAAATAAAATGTGTCCACCCACTTTACTGCATAACATGTGCATCTGTTTTTGTTTTAAAAGCTAAAATAAGAAATGAAACGATGGTTTTTAAGCGTGACAACACATTTTCTACAGTAGATGTTTATCAAAAATGATAAGCAGACTTTATTTCAAAAGATCGTGTAACATTTGACTGAAGGCAAAATGGCTCTTTTTGTAGATTCCTGCTCTAGAAAACTGATGGCCGCCTCCTTGTTCATTTTAGTGATTTAGAATCTATGCATGTAGGTGTTATAAACTAAAATAAATTTCAATAGGTTAATGGTAAATTTGTGCTTTTGTCGTTGTTTTCACACCTCAGCTCCCCCATTTACACCCAGAGACACCCTGAAGGCCTGGCAGGAGAAGAACCACCCCTGGTTGGAGCTGTCTGACGTCCACAGGGAGACCACAGAGAACATCAGGGTCACCGTTATCCCCTTCTACATGGGAATGAGGGTGGGTTCATCTGCTCAGAGTTCCTCAGTATGTCAGTCTCACCAAGGTGCTGCGATCGCAACTATTAAAACAAACTCACCGTTCACTAATCTTACAGTTTTCATCGTGACTTCTCTGCTAATCTGACTGTAATGTTTCCTTCTTTTCTGACCAACTCGACTGAATTTTGACCAATCCTCATTTCCTGCTTCTAATTTAACTTCCTGTTTCGCGTCCCCTGAAAACCGAACCTGCAAGTTAAAAACATGTAACATTTACTTTTTTCCCCTTTCTTTTGGCAAACTGTTTCATTTTGGACCTTATCAAGATTGTGAATGTTTTAAAAAAGCCGGTTGTGGCTTAAAGTATTGATAAAACCCATCAACAGACTCTTAATATATTAATAAAAAGCTGTTTCTGCATTCAGTGAGTAATTGAAGTTAAATAATAGTTCACATTTTTTCACACTGATGTAGTTTTGCAGTGCATAGATGAAAACTGCTTTGATTAATTTGATTAAATAATATTAAAACACAACTCTTACCTTTAAGGATCTATTTATGGGACTTTGTAGAGTCTAGGGACATGTAAAAAGCTATTTTGGGCCAGATTTGGCCCCCAGGCCTTCAGTTTGACACGTTCAGTTCATTTTTTTTGCACTTTAACTCCTCCTCAGGACTTGAGTTTATTTGTAGTAAGGCATCTATTTCAAGAAGGTTCCTGAAAATGATACATCAGTAACTTTATGCCTTAGCAATCACAAAGAAACATGGCAACATGTGGGAGGAACTGATCTTTTTGTCTTCTTTCCACTGAAAATCTGATGATCTGTTTTTCTGGTTCTCAGGAGGCCCAGAACTCCCACGTGTACTGGGTGAGTAACATGCAGTGTTGGAAACGACGGCGGCTTCAAGCGAACAGTTTGAACATGTGTTGCCTTCCTGCAGTGGCGCTACTGTATCCGCCTGGAGAATCTGGGCAGCGAGGTGGTTCAGCTGAGAGAGCGGCACTGGAGGATCTTCAGCCTGTCGGGAACCCTGGAGACGGTCCGGGGCCGAGGCGTCGTAGGCAGGGTGAGTGTCAGAGCAGCATGCTTTTATTTTGAAGGGGTAGGTGTATCTGACCTAAAAGTCTCTTTAAAAGCAAAACGGTGTCGGAATAAACAGAAAAGCAACAATTACGGCTTTCCTACTGCTGATTACCAAGAAGAAAACTCATTGGTAATGCAGGTATAAAAATGCTATGACATTTATTCATATTGATTCTGAATCATAAGTTGACACAAAACTACAAAATAAACACTCATTACATTTTGTTTTCTACTGCTTCTCATGCAGAATATTATACACAGACCTTTTTATGGTGTAACCCTGATCTGTCCTGTGAATTTTGTGTCAGTTTTTTTTTTTTTTTTTGCCCTTTTTGGGCAAATGATTAAATTTAGCTATTGTGCTAATTTCTACATTTTTTTTTTACATTGCTTTAAAATGTGGTAATGTTGATTAATGTGCTCTGTTCTAATCAAATAGTTAAATTAAAACAAGTATAAGTTGATATTAGCTAAAATATTAACTCTGTTGTATCTGCTCTGACAGCCTTTTAATGAACAGGAAGCTCATATCCTGCAAACAGAAGTTTAAAAACAGCCCTGCCTTCATGCAGCGACACCTCAAAAAAATTAGAACATTTTGAAACAGATCAGGGTTTTTTCACTTATTTCAGAAGGTGAAACTTGTTTATAGATTCATCACATAGTGAAATATTTCAAGCCTTTGTTTCTTGTAATTTTGATTATTAAAACGGGTTTAAACCAAGTAGGAGTGTTCAGTTTAGACCCAGAGGTTAACCTGTTAACTGTTACCACTTTTATTTCCTTCAAGATCAGAATATAGAAATCATTTAACGTCAGCTGTTTTTTTTTTTTTATATATTTTTTTTTATTCTGAACCTCATATTGTACAGCTGTTATTTACACATGCCTTATTGGATAAAAATTATTTTTTGGATTAAAATAAAGCGTGTGTGCGCGTGTCTTCATCGTTTCCTGTTTACAGTTTCTGTGTTTGTGCTTACAGGAGCCTGTGTTATCTAAAGAGCAGCCAGCCTTCCAGTACAGCAGCCATGTGTCTTTACAAGCTCCCAGTGGTCATATGTGGTGAGAACGATGCTCCACACGCTGCATATGCAGTCCCAGCAGTCAGAAGTTTACATACACATTCATTGTCCTGTTTGTTTTCAAGTTTCGACCATCCGACCAAAACGAACACACTCGGATAAAAGGAAATTAAATTTGGCCACTAGGACTAGTTTTAAAAGCTGAGTCCATGCCACAAAAACCACCTTATTTAGATGATCTCTACTGGTTTTGATGGGTTGATTGGTCATATGTCCAGCCAGAATGATGCCAACAGCTAGTTGATGACAGGTTGAGTTGCAACTTAGTAAAGGACATTTATCCAAATATCAGAAGGGATGTTTATGTATTTTGTGCTGTGTGGGTTGGAAGAAATACAAACTTTTTAAACAGTTCATCTATTTAAAAAATGACTGCCCCACAGTCAGAGGCTGTAGTCCTTGATGTGGTTCGATCTCTGGTCTCAGGCGTTTTGCTGCATGTGTTCCTGTTCTCCTGTCTCTCTACCAACAGGTAATATAGAGGTTCAGTAAAGGCCCCTAGTGTCAAAAAAAAGTCTATTTATTGTCTTAACATTGCGTTTTTTTGTGCAGTATATTAAACTTGTTTAATTAGAAGGTAAAAATTAAAGGCCATAGTTATTTATTTAAACCTGTTTTGTTTATACAAGCCATCTAGTCAATCAATTTATCAAGTTTATTTGTATAGCACATTTCAACAGTTTGCTTTACATCGTAAAAACACAAAAGTACAATCATAGAAGACAGAGTCAACAATAGAAACATAACATTTTGTCGAGTGGCATTATTAAACATCAGACTATTTATCAATGTTTCATTTATAATGTTTCAAAAGCAGATGTGTTTTAAGTCTGGATCTAAAGGAACTCGGTGTTTCAGCTGTTTTGCAGTTTTCGGGAAAGTTATTCCAGATTTGTGGTGCATAGAAGCTGAATGCTGTTTCTATGCAGATCCAAGGTCTCATTTACAAGAGATTCATGTTTTGATTAAACAAAATTACAAACACAGGAACATAAAAATCAATTTGACCCATTTAAATAGGCTAATAAAATATGAGCTAATATTTTATTGAGCATTCATGTCATTGGCAATAATTGTTTCCATGTGTCTGACCAGAATTATATAAATATGTTATAAACAAAGCGTTTTGATTCTGTAGCCATTCACTCCTGTTGTTTTTCCTCCAGGGGAACGTTTCGTATCGAGAGAACCGACGGCTCCCACTTCGACGTCAGGATTCCCCCCTTCTCTCTGGAGAGCAACAAAGACGACAAAGCGCCCCCTGCTGGCTACACATTCTAACTGGCACTGGCTGGCCACCACGCCAGTTCCCGACTGGGTCATGTCTGCAGTTGTCCTTCCTCTGCGGCCCTGCCATTCAGTCAATTTCAGTCACAAAGAGACTTTAGAAGTGTCGACATAATCCAAACTCTGGCCGTCAGGCTGCACCCAGCAGCAGAGTGGGATCGATTAAATGACGGAGTGGAAATTCACTCTGCTGTTCTGTGCATTCTTGAGACACGGACACTTGGGTCAAACGTAGAATTACTGCAGATTTGGTTCTGACGGGCAATTACTGAAACACTGACCCGACTATTTGTAAGTGGGAGGGTTTCCTGCTGAGCTTCTTGTTTGAGAAAACGGAGAGGGACTCAAATTGAACCAGTAAGTTATTTCTTATTTGCCAGCTGAAAACTGTTCATCCCTCTGTTAGCATCTGTTTTGGGGTTATAACATTTATTTTACCTGGATCCTTTTTCTTCTCCTCATGCTTTATAAGCATCAGACTACCTGGTTCGGAGTCGTGTAAGAGTGACACAACAGTGAAGCACAGTGGACATCATTACTTCCTACTAAACAAGTATAAAAATAATGAAATGCACTGCATGTAACTTGATCTGTCATTCCTGTACCAGCAGAAACCTATCACAGTAACTTCTGGTAATTGAACTCAACGTACATATTTAATATTTTCTAGTAACTTTCACACAGTTGGAATGCAACTACCAACAGGGTTTGTGTTGCACAGCCATGTTATTTCCTTTAAAAACATTAATTATATTCTTGATTGTTTTGATTTTCATGAGTTGATATTGGAGTTAAAATGTGGCTTCAAGTTTCTAATAACAGCCATTAAATAAATTGTTTTGCAACTGTTGTTGCTGCCTTTACGTGACGTTGGAAGGTCCTCTCTGTTTTTAGTTTCCGCTCACAGCTATTTTATTCTGTCCTTCTTGTTTGTCTAACATTAGACACACAACAGAAGAAATATTTAGCTGTAATACTTTGTACAAATTTGAATTGGGCTGATCTAAACACTATCTGTTGGAAGGTGGTTATTATCATTGAATTAGAAAAATGAAGATGTCCACTGTGGTTTAGTGTTATCAAGCTCTAGTATTGAGTCCACTGTGTGCGTTGACAGCCAAATGTAACCCCCCCCTCCTGCTCAAGGCCAGCATTTATAGTCTTGGAATAACAGAAATCGCACCACAAAAGCTTGAGAAGCAGCGTCAGAGGGGAGCAGGTTTGAACTTTTGTGTTTTAAGAGACGTGTCTACCATTTGATGGATGTCTTTGGCTGTTTTTAACTTTGAGAGGGAACGCGGGATGAGCCTCACACTTCCCCTTTAAAGTGAAGATAGAAGCTAACATTGCTGCTTTAGTGAGCGATTTGAAGCAACTCTGACGTTTGAAATACTGTAAATAGAGATGTAATTAAAAGTAAAGGAAATAAACCTTTTCAAAAAAAATGTCTGGATCTGTAGTGAGTTTTTGTTTTCTGTGATTAGGCTTCTGCTCATGTGGAAAATAAGGATACAATATAAAGTTTTTCAGTTTAAAGGATAAAAACATGAATTGTAAATGTTGAACTTCCGCTAGCAGTAGTTTTATTCTTCATTACCACCAGAGGTCAGTAGAGTCCACAGGTAAAGTGTTTCCATGTTTTTATGAACCTCAAGAGATGCATGCTTATTTTTAGGTACCTTAATAGATTTAAACCTCGTTAAAACGTAAAGGAAGATGTTTACAAAGACTTAATTTTAACTTTATGATCAGGGAGGAATATTATAGATGGACATTAGAGGAGACTAAGTGGGCTAATTAAAACTCTATTAAAGCATTCTTGTGGTCTCCATTTCTCTAAAATCAGCGCCAACTCAGGTATAGGTAAACTTTTGTACGTTTTTTTTTTTTTACTTTAAAAAAAAAAAACTGCTGATAAGTTGATGTTTTTTAAGTGTCTGGAAACTAGTCTGTTTCAAAAACCTGATCAGCGGCCACTGCCCGTTACCTAGCAACCCACTTAGCAGTTTGGTCAGTGGGTTTTACGGCATTATTCGCTGGACAAGACAAATGCTCTGTTAGCATACCATTAAAAAACCGCTGAAAAATTTGGTTAACTTCTTAAGTGTGAGGTTTGACAATATTATATGCAATATATAATTTTAATATTTTTTTCCCAAGAGATTGACTGACAAACAGCGTTACCGTAGCATGGTTAGCTTAATCGGCCAGTTGGAAGCTCAGATATTAGTTTCTAAATTTACTTAACACCAAAATAGCCTATCAATAGACTATACCAGGTCACATTGACCATAACACTGATGAGGAAGTTACGGCAGTGTTTCCAGATTGAGTTGGAAAAAATAAGCTTCGGGTGTGTTTATAAAAATTTGGGCTCCTTTTCATACCATTTGGTGAGTTTTTAGAAAGGACAATTCTGCTAAAGTAGTTGTTACTGTGTGGCAGAACAGTAAATAACTTTTACATTTTGATAAAATGCTATGTCTTTGCTCTTTTATTTTTCTTTTGTAGCTCATTTATTTTGAAATGTTTAGAATATGTTTCTATGCAATTTGCTTGACTGAGGCTGATTCATTTAACTGATCAACTTAAAAACGTGTGCTGTGTGTAAAAAAAAAAGCAATGTTAAGTTTAAATTTTATATTACGTTAGATTAATTTAATTTCGCTTTGGGATCAACAAAGTAATTTTGAATTTGAATTTACAATTTATGTCGACAGGCTATTCATAACTATTTTGCAGTTGCTATGACAACATGTTAGGGAAGGGGATTTTTGTGTGTAGATTATTTGGTTGCCTGATTTGCATATTTTGTGGGGAGCTTGTATGTGCAACCTTTTTTTTTTACTTGAGTGCGGTTGTGTGCTAGTGGTGTGTTCTTTGTTATGCGTGCAATTCTGAATCTTTATTCAACAACACGTTTCAACAAAGATTGAGATTTGGGCTGGTTTTGATCAAGTTTGGATGTTTTTTTTTTTTTACATTTTTTGGGCTTGCAACCCTGACTGAGGGAACAAGACTCAGCTTATTTGGCTATTGAGAGTGACACTTTCAACAGGTATTATGAAGGCTGAGCTAAGTAAATAAACAAAAGTTTGATCCCAGAAAAGAAAAGTAGAAATAGTAAAAAAAAAAAAAAAAAAAAGGTCAAATGACATATGTTAATTTCGTCCAATCAGGTCCTTGTGAAACACCATTTAGAAAAGCCAATTTCATCTGGCCAAAAATAGAAACTCATAAGACTGTTGGTTACTGATTGAGTAGGGGACAGAGTCACTAGTTACAGTAATCCGACCCTCCATTCATAACAAAAAAGTTATGGAAAATGGCTAAGGGATTTGGAATGCCAGCCATGCTAACCACTCTGTTACAATATGCTAATGCTTGATTAAAATACCAACCCTATAGTAATTTATTAGTTAATTTGATTCTGCTGTTCTCTATTTCTGATTGACTTAGACTACAAAATAGGCCTAATGTGTGTCTGTTGTTAAACTACAAGGAGATGTCCAGTGTTGGAGAGTTTTTTTTTTCTTTTTTCTCAAATACCTCATATAGTAGGTCGTACTGATACTGGTTGCATCTGTACGACCTTTGAAATTTTTTGGTACACTATTGAGAAATTAGGCCACATTTGTGACCAAATTGATCACACACAAGAACTCTGAATAAAGTAAAATTAGCATCATATTTGTCAAATATACATTCTTTTCCATTAGTTTACTTCATCTGCAAAACATGTGAAATGCTAGATGAAGTGGGGAAAACCCTTCAAAAGTTCCAGCATGGTCAATATAAAAAGCATGTCAGCTGGTGGGCACAACCGGAAGTGGGCCCACCAATAACATTCTACTTGAGGCCTCTTACAACCTTGGCTCGGCCCTGTGACACTTTCGTTCCTCTCTGTTTGTCGGTTTAACTTGAAGACTGCAAAAGGATTTCAGCTATGTGACTCATGCTTGCAGTACACACGGCACTGCTAATGTACAGCACAACAATAAAAACGCTGCTTTCAGTGGAAATCGGAAGAGAGACTCCCAGAAACCGCCAGCTCGACCGTGTTGCAGCTCCCTCTGCTTCCTCTCTCCATCTCCTGGCCGTGTTGCTGCTCCCTCCGCTCCTCCTGCTCCCTCTCTCCATCTCCGTGTGTTTAAAGGAGTTGAGCTCATGTACAGTCGCCCCCCTCTTAGCCGAACAGAGGCTGCGATGCATAATTCACTTCCAGCCCGGGGACACCACAGACTCGCCCCTACAGTAGAGCCGAGCCTCCGGAGCTGCAGCCGCTGCGCAGCCCGCGGACCGAGGCGCTGATGCGGCCGCGTCCAGCTCGCTGCTCCAGCACGGATGGCGATTCAACCTTGGAGGAGGGCGAGCGCCGCGTGTGATGCAGGTACCGCATGACTTCCTGCGACCGAACCGAAGAAGGACGACGCTGATCTGCAGTGTAAACATTGCCATGCCCTGCCTCATGCAGCACCTCCTCCGACTCTGTGTCTGCTGCTCCTCCGCCAGCCCAGGACACCGGGTTCTGTTTTAGGGAATCGCCGCTCTCGGAGTTAAATATTTTTGGAGTTGTGTTCGGGACAGGGAGGCCACACTCTGCTCTGTAGCCTACTTTAGTGATCGGACACCCTGACTTTGTTGGGGTCATGTTGAGCGGCCATGCTGCAGGCAGCATCCTGCGATCTGTTCCCAACCTGAGATGAACTTGATGTCTGAAACAGGAAACTACAACCTCTGCTGTGATACTGGTGATGCTTCTTCAGCTGTGCAGCTACTTCACTTTACAAACATGAGCTCCTCTGGCTTTACAAGGATGTGATCAGCTGCAGACCTGATCTAAATGAGCAGAACATTTCTGATATTAATCAAACTGCTTGGTGGGACCAGTGTCCTTATTATCACAGTTCATACTGAGGCAGCTCCATGGGGGCCAAGCAGAGCAAAGGCCAGGAGCCCGGCGGGGCCAGTCCTCAGCACAGCTGGAAACGGACTCCCACCAAGGAGAGGGGGGACATTTTGGCCTCCCTGATGCTGAAGTCTGGAGACCGGCTGAACCGAGCGGGGACGCCGCCACCGCCATACCAGCGCCGGATTGGGATGATCCAGGAGATGATGATGATGGCCAAGCAGGGCAAGCAGGACGAAGCCACGGAGATGCTGAAGACACTCAGACAGGTAGATACTGATGTATTTGTGGAAATCAGTTTTGAAGAGTAGAGGCATGGCACAATAACAAAATTTACAAGGCGATGTATCGTCACCGTAGTTATTGCGATAAACGATAATATTGCTGTTCTGAGACCTTTTCCAATAAATATATTGGTATTTGGGTAATAATGGACGTTTGCTTTCCAGAAGACTAATAAACTTTAATTTTCAAAAAAAATTGGAAGATATCTTAAATATCTAAAATAAAACACAACTGAAAACCTAAATAAAACGAATCATGAAGTCTGTAAACAAAACGCCCTCTTCAGAAATTCTTAATCGTCACAATGGAAATTATTGAGCTCACTTCAATTCGATTAACTGATTATTGTGACAGGCTTATTGAAGAGTGAGAACAACCCTCCCAGCAGTCACAGCACCTCTGCTTGTTTCTGTTTGTTTTTGTCCTTTTTCCTTGATTTTTTTACTACTCGCATTGAAGCAAAAGCCCGACTCTCACTGCCTGTTTACACGCTGAATAAACCGAGTGAGTAATTCAATGTCCTCATGCTCAGTAAAATAACCACCTCCCTTCCTGGATGATTGGAGCTGTTATATTCAGAGTGGCTTTGCTGTAACGGTGAACAATGCTACGATTTACAGCGTAACTCTGCCTCGGCTCGGCTGGCTGCTGCCGTTGCCACAGCAGGAGAGGAAAAACCAACAGACTGGAAGAACTGGGTGTGGCGAGACACAAAGGGATGGAGCAGAGTGAAAGTGCAACAGCTGGAATAAGAAAAGTTGAAAAGGTGTTGACGACGAATGGCAAAAACTCTGCTGAAAAACAGTAACATCAATGTATCACATGATCTGTCATAGGTCGATCGCAAAGGCAACAATTATTCCTACTGCTGCTAAAATAACATGAACATGTTATGTTCGGGTTATATTAATAGCATCCATGACATTTATTTACTCTTACTCTGACTTTTATACACTAAAGAAAGCAAAAATATGGAATATATACCCGGTGATTTCTTTTATTGGTTATTTATGGTGTCATTGGTAATCTCACACAAGCAGTTCTGCATGGAATATTATTATTTTTTCTAATCTGATCTTATTGAGAGATACTCAATAAGTTGAACTTAGGTGGGTAATCAGTATCATGGCACCAGTGGATTAAAATTGCATAGAAAGAAACTTTATTTCAGACTTGAGGTCAAATAAAAAACAGAATGTCACTCAACCAACCAATGAGATACACACAACTACAATTATCAAAAAGTAATTATGCCGTTCACAGTCCAATAACAGACTGTGAATGGCATAGTGTCAAAATCTCTAAAAAATAAATGTTGTCCTGCTGTTCTTCTGGTTTAAAGTATTTTTGATAAGATGCCAAAGAAAGTGTCAGTGATTGGACTTAACCCAGATTCTTAACTGTAAGAATCAATTTGTTGTTTTGGTTGAAGAAATGATTTATTGCTTTTCTCTTTTAAGTAAAAGCAATTTGATTATATAACATATACTGAACATAGCATGACTACCAAGGTGAATGGAGCGCAGAATAATGCAGTCGGTTCTCATCCTGTTTTTCTCTTAAAAAGGACATTTTTTCTTAGCTCTGTTTCTTGAAATGTTCTATTTAAATTTTAAACAGCTCCACTTTGGCAGCAATAATAAATACTAGAGCTTACTGCATAAAAACTTCCATCAACACATGTTTTCATAGAGAGCTGATCAAATTTGTCATCTAAGAAACAAAATTTTTGGACTCTTTTCAGAATTTGAGATGGAAGGACACGTTGTAAATGTTTCACACTCATTCAATACATAACAGAACAAATGGACTACATAGTAAAATAAAAAAATGGACTGAGTATTTTTCAGCTGTAATTTGATATTTATTTTCCTTCTGTATTGAATTCAGGCTAACTCAACCTTCAACTTCAGATTCTTGTATGGGTTCACAGAATAAAATGATGGAGAGCAACATGGCTGCCTGAACAAAATATAGATTTTATTATTCCAAGACCATGTGCATCTCAGATGAGCGGATTTATTCACAGCTCGCCCAAAGTTTTATGGGGGCTTAAACAGAATTTGTTTTAGGACCCCACTTCCTGTTAACACTAACAGATTCACACCGGTCCTGTTCTAACTGAACTCTTGTTTGTTTACATAGAAAGTCCGATTCGATGGTGGAGGTGTGATGTGAGCTCTGGTGTGGACCAAAAAAAGTGAACTTTGGTCCGCCTAGCTCTCGGTTCTGCTGAAGCGTACTCTAGCGCTGTTTGAATTCATATGTGAATGCCAAACAGACCAAAAACAGGAAGCAAATTAGCCTACACTGCAGGGAATTCTGGGTAAATATAACCAAAACAAACACACAAGCCTAGAGCTAGCAGGAGAAATAACTTGTGGTCTTTGCCAACTGTTAAAATTGAATGCCACTGCATTTTTATTTACATTTCTGCATAAGGAAGTTGCACTCATATCTTCTTCTGAGTGTTTTGTGTTGTTCCCGTCAGTGGTTCTTCGTGCAGCGCCCCCCACAGGCACAGGGCTGGAACAGTTTTTTCAAAAGATTTGATTTGTTGAAAATGTAGCAAATGTTGCAGTTTTCATCCGAATCAAACTGAGTCTACGGTCCATCTGGTGTGAAAATATATTTTCAAGACAGATCTAGGAGAAGAACTCAAGTTTAATTGGCTCAGCTTAGCAGCAATTGGTTCTTATTTGCTGAGACGTATTTGTGAAAAAGCCAGCTCAAACACAAAGGAAAGATTAAACCTGTCACATCAGATTGCAACTATAACTAATAATTATTCTTCACACTCTCAAAAAGTAAACTTAGCAATTCCTTTAAAGCTGAAATTAATATTTTAAACAATTTGACATCTCTTTATTTATGCTGAAACCACCAAATCAAATTTTGTAGTACTCACATCTTGTGCGGGCTTTGGGTTTTTTTATATAACCTGTCGAGTTTGCAGAGAGTTACAACAACTGGCAGCAGCCGTGTGCCGTTGAGCCAGACTCTGGATTGAGGTGCTTTCCCAATTTCTGTAATTGGAAAAAAATGTTGACTCAATGAAGCTGTCTCTCAGCAGAGGTCAGTGAGAACGCTGTGAAGTGTTTATAGATCTGAGTTCTCCAGCGCCAGACTCCACTTCCCTTTATTAACGTTTGAGTCGCAGCGTTCGCCATGTCTGACTGCAGTTGTGTCTTTGTTCAGGCTGAGCTGCGTTCAGACCTCTCCTTTGATGTGGACCGCTCTTTCACTAACAAAAGTAAAGACTACACTGTTTTCTGAAAGCATAAATTACTCTGAGTGTCTGAATACAGTTAAAACTGAGTCCAATTGCGGAAACTCATCTGTATTTCATGAGGAGCTTTGAGTGCCTTTCCAACCTCAATCAAAAAATATATATTTATTTGGTGTCGGTAATCTTTTTCCTGCATTGATTCAGCTTGTTATATCACTGGAGACAATTTAATCAGAATTATTGACTTGATAAAACTTCCTCATATCTGGGTTTGGCTTCAGATACAAAGCTTAGCGTAGCTGTTTTTCATTTGCGCCTGAAATCCTGGTCTAATTAGTGCCGTTCCCTTAAAATTCAGACATCACTTAAATAAAACCTGACTGAAAGTATCAAGTAGAGCAAAAATGTCAACAACTAATAATATATAAAGACCAGCCCTGATTAAATTCAACAAATGATGAGAAACAAAATCCTGGACATTTTTCAATCTGGAAAGAGTTAAAAAGTCATTTCTAATAATTTTGGTCTCTGGAGAACCACTCTGAGAAATAATATCCATAAATGGAGAAAACATGGAGAAGTGGCGAACCTTCCCAGTAGTGGCAGGTCTACCAAAATTAATCCACGAGGGCAACAATGACTAATCCAAGAACCATATCTAAAGCACAAGAGTTCCTGATTCAACAATAAGAAAAAAAGGCAAAAAAAAAAAAACATAAAAAGAACATAAAAATATCTCATATGTGTCAAAAATAAAGACTTGTTGGAAAATATTCTGCGAACTGAAGAGACAAAGTGAAACTTTGCAGAATGGATGCAGATCAGTTGTAAAACCAACACAGCATTTCAGAAAAATCATGATACTGACAGGTAGGGCTGGACAGCCTGGCTGAAAAATGTATCATGATATAAGCTCTTCAGTCGATATCAATAATTATTCACTAGCTTTTTCTTTTAAGTATCTGAAGTACTGGGGCAACCATAATCCACCGTTTTAATCCATCGTTTCGCTGAGCTGTTCTCATTTTCTCCTTTCACTCCACTGACAGGCCGGTATTTGTGTGGTGTTTTGAAGTTCATCCAGGTCAAAAATGTAGGATTTTTAACATGTAAACAACATGTGAAAAACATATTAACAATTTACATATGACCGTCTATATCGCACCGTGCATTAATGCAATGCAGGCCCACACACACACACACACACACGCAGGCCTACCTGCCTAACTTTTATATTATACCAAAACTTACCTATTTGAACTGAACTTTCCTCTTTCTCTCATTATTGTGGCATTTAGCAAATGCAAATAATTTTGGTAACTCTAACTGACTTAAAACAAGAGACGTTTCCTCTAAATTTAACTTACAGTGAAGAGAAAAAACTGATTTCCTGAAGACTTGGACATTTTTTCAGTTCCAGGTTAGTACCATAACGTGCCATCAGACAGCTGCTTTATAGACTAATTGTTGGTTTCTGCTATCTGCTTTGTTGCTTCTGAAACCTGAAAATGCAGCAGTTAATTAATACATGCATGTCATTCATTCAAACCTGCTGTCATTATGCGTCTCACCGCCTACGCAGAACAGGCAGCAAGGAAAACTCGGTGAGTCATAGGTTTCTACAGGAGACCAAGCATCTCCGTCCGTGTTGCTTATCAAATAATCAGTCCTGCAACTGAACTGGCAATAAATTGTCTGCAAAACCAACCCGAACGCTCATGCTAAAACATGAAAACGTAGCAGGGTTGGAGACAAAAATTAGAAACTACACTTTATTAGGTACACCTTCTTAGTACTGGGTTGGACCCCCTTTTGGCTTCAGAACTGCCATAATCCTTCGTGGCATAGATTCAACAAGGTACTGGACACATTCCCCAGAGAGGCTGATCCATATTGACATGATAGCATCGTGCAGTTGCTGCATATTTGTTGGCTGCACATCCATGATTCAAATCTCCCGTTCCACCACATCCCAAAGCCTCTCTATTGGACTGAGATCTGGTGACTGTGGAGACCATTCAAGTCTAGTTAACTCATTGTTCAACAAACCAGTCTGAGATGATTCGCGCTTTATGACATGGCTCATTATTCTGCTGGAAGTAGCCATCAGAAGATGGGTACACTGTGGTCATAAAGGGATGGACCTGGTCAGCAACAATACTCAGGTTGGCTGTGGTGTTGACACGATACTCAGTTGGTACTAATGAGCCCAAAGTGTGCCAGGAAAATATGCCCCACACCATTGCACCACCACCACCATCCTGAACTGTTGATACAAGGCAGGATGGTTTTGCTACCTGATGACATTTATGATGAAGCAGATCAGTATTAGGCTTTCTCATCCAACAACCTCATAAAATATTCCCATAAACATAATCCTAAACCCTGTGAACGGACTTCCCAGCTGAGTCGAAGCTGTTATAGCTGCTAATGGTGGACCAGCTCCATACTAAAGTCAAAGTCTTTGCTTTGTTATACTGTTAAAGTGTTTGGTTTCGTAAGCATCTTTGTACTTTTGGCATTATAGTAGATGTTTGACAAGAGCTGAAGTGATTAAAATGTTTTGGAATGTTTAAAGGAAACAGCAAATTGACTATTTTATTAATTTATTTAGATATAAATAAATTAAGGTTTCAGAATAACCTTTTGCTAGCAGTGGAGTGTATATGAGTGAAGTACCTCTATATCTTGTTTGTATCATATCATCCATTAGCTAATAATAGAGGTAAAGCTTTTAATTATGTCTTTTTATCTGAGAAAATGCATTAGATTAGTTCATATCTGTTTACAAATTTAAATTGATTCATTAGAAGGTTGCAGGTATCTTTCTACACATAAAAAGTTGTTTACTTGTTTTTGATGATACCTATTAGTACATGACTGAAATCACCCACTATCCCACCCACTCACCAGTGACCGACGGTCGTTTTGTACTCAAAGAGCCAAAACAAAATGTTTAATTTCCACGTAATCTAACTGTAAAATGGAAACATAATGAGCAGATTGGTGCTGCTGATGAATCCCAAGGTCTTTGCTTTACTCACTAAATTTTTCTCCATTGTTTTGCACCTCAACAGGAACAGCACAACTGGCAATGATTAATTTATGTCTGTCACTCCTTTGTTGGGCTACATAAAAGCTTACAGTATAGTGCTGTATAGGCTTTTACACGTCAAACCTTTGATGCATTTAATGGAGCCTATGGTGCTTATTAACTGTGGATATCAGCTTCACTGGTGATGCTAAAACAGTTTCCACTGTGTTTTAAGGTGTATTTGGTGAGTGGAGTGTCAGAGAGAGTAGAAGCTTCTTACAGTGACAGAGGCCCAATTCATGGTAACTTATGACATAAAATTTCTTTTAAGTCATGTTTGATGTTTTTTTTTTATAACAGCTGGATTACTTTGTTGTGCTAAAATGGTTCTAGGTGCCTGGAAAATACATAATATCACCCATTTTAATGGTTTACTGGAGAAGTTTTCAGACACATTTATCAGACTCACATTTCAAATATTAAAGACTGTATGTATTTGCCACATTATTTGAATGTGGGGAAAACTGTATCTTCTGGTTGTCACATATGAAATAAAAAGTTGGTAGCTTGTCCAAAATAAACAAAGGAATGCATCTTGGGCTAAAATGTAAAGATGTTTTAAGTGTCTGTTTTTCTTATTTTTGCTTTTAGGAACAGATATGGGTGTGTTTCTGTGTAGCTTAGTCATTTTAGTCTCATTTATGGAAATCAGATGACAACAAATGAGAAATTGAGATCAATATTCTTTGTCAAATTTTAACTATATTATTCAACACACCCAGAATTGCTTGGAAAAAAGAAACAGGATCCTTAAGTTTTGTGTTTGTGACTAGACGTAATCCTCTTTAGTTTTATATTCCTACCAGGCAGGAAGCAGTGCAGGCTGGGATTTATCATTCTCAGCGAGTTCATGTTGCTGCTGTTTTATGTGTGCAGGATCTGGGAATGGAGTCAACGTCTTTGGATGACGTCCTGTATCGCTACGCCAGCTTCAGAAACCTGGTTGACCCCATCACACACGACCTGATCATCAGCCTGGCCCGATACGTCCACTGCCCCAAGACGGTAGGTCGTCACCTTCCTGACCTTCTCACCCAATGCGACCCCTCGCGGCTGAAAGCTTCATCCGTAGCTGAACAAAGCTCCAAGTGCAAACCAGCGTCTGCTCCTCATAACCATAAATTAACAAAATTAAATCCACTCACACAGTAACAGTCTAACATGAAGCATATGCAGTAAATATTTCAGACTACAGTGAGCACGGCTGAGCATGCTCACACGTGTGCTGACTGATATGATTCACTGTGTTGCTGCTATCAGATGATCTCCTGACTCATTTTGTCTGACGCTATTAGGTTATGGAAGTGCTCTAAGTGGTTGTGTGTCTGCGTGCGTTCTTGAGGCAACCGCTGCTGATTGTGTTTGTCCATTCGTGTCGGCCATCATGTTAGCGGGAGGGAAGGAGGACGATGCGAAAGATGGCGGCGGTCGTTATGAATGAATAATGCAGAGAGGAAGGAGGGAAAGATGGTGGTGGAGACAGGAATTAAAAGGCCTGATGTGTAATTTGGGGGCAGTTATTAAAAACATCATTCCCACCAAGCGAATGATGTAAGAGGAAGCCTAAGGTAACACAGTTAGTGATGCAGTGGTGGGATTAAAATAAAGACTTTATTCAAACAATAATAAAAAACGTGGGATTATCAGAGAGCTGTTTTAATATTTCACTTCCTGTCCCTGTACCAAATACATTTTCCCTCAAATTCACAAAGTCTTTGTTGAACCCCCAGGAGTGTCAGACTCATTTTCCTTTTGGGCCAAATCAGGATCATGAATGTTCTTAAAGGGCCAGTTGTGCCAGAATGTTCTGATAAAAACCATTAAACTGTGAAAATATAAATAAGTTCTTGAAATCAAATAATACTTATATTTCCAGTCACTCCAGCAATAAAAAAGTGTTTGTGGTAGTGATTTAGAAATATTTGCGCTCATGTAAATGTAACATTTTATTACACGAATATTGCACCACGAATTTCCACAATAATCCACAAGAAACTGGAGTGATTCATTGATGCAATTTGGCATTAAATAGATAAAAACTGCTTTGAATTGATTGATAAAATAATATCTAAGCACACTGTTATCCTGACGGTTCTATTTGTGTCTAGTGGGCCACATAAAAAGCTGTGGTGGGCCAGATTTGGCCCCCTGGCCTTGAGTTTGACACATGCTATATTGTCTGTCGGGTTACTTTTACCTTTTTATCTTTCTTTTGGTTTTGTTGTTTAGTTTGAATTTCCTTCTAATTCATGTAAAGCACTTTGAACTGCCTTGTTGCTGAATGTGCTACATAAATAAAATTACCTTACCTTAATAAAAAGTTAACACAACTTACTACTTGTAAGCTTATCTTTCACAAACTCACATTTAAGTTCAAAATCTAAAACTTGCTAAATTTATTTGACTTAAAGAGTCAAATAAATGCATCTCAAATGTTTTACAGTGCATAAATTAAAAAAGGGGATCAAATTAAAAGATAAAATGTAAATAAAATGTATATTTTGATGTCAAATGAAGACTTTATTCTGCAGCTAGTTTGTTTTTGGAAAATGTTTCGGGACATGAAACGAAAAGTCTTCTAAAAGAAATAATCCATGACATTAGGAGTCCACCGATTGTAGTTTAAAAAACCAGAGCTGCTGTTTTGACTGTTTTCTTTTATAATTAAGATCTTCATAAGTCTGGAAAGTTGCTAAATCAATATTGAATTCAGTTTTTTGTTTTGTGTCGATTCACAACTCACCATTCAGACAATCTAACAGAGCGATTTCAAGTACAGACTTTCCAATTAATCCTACTTATCAAACATTGCTGTCAACTTCAGTTAATTATTCAATAACCTGTCCCAACTAACACTGAAAAACACTGGGTTGCTACATTCCAGCTTCAAATTACACAGATCCACCTGAGAAATCTGCTTCTCCACACAATTGCCTTTTGCTAGGGATCAAGCTGACCTCTCAGAGCCACAGAGGAAATGGAGATGTTGGGTTTTGTATGCGGCTCATAATAGCTGAATAGACAGAGGCTGAGCAGAGCAGAGCAGGAGTGAATAAAACATCGGAAGGGGAGTCAGAGGGAGGTGTTGTCTTCCTGTTTTCAGGATTACTCTGCGTTGAATGACTGATATCAGACAGGTTAGGCTTTCTTCTTATCTAATGGCTGGATAAGAAGTGGTTAATTTATTTTAATTAAGATTTTATATGAGATAATCTCTATTTAAAGTCTTGTTTTCTGAAATAGTCACATGATTGATGGAGCTGAAAAACTCAGGTTTAATTCCTGCACTCTGTTGTACTCTCCTTCTTACAAGAAGTTTCCATCATACATTGCCATAAAAGCATATTTTCTGAGCTCTACTACATCCAGCACACTTAACCTGCTCTGCATTTAGCAGCCCGATAACACAAAGCTGCTTTTATGCCGAGAGAATGCTTCTTCTTTCTTTTTCTTTCCAGTGGATGTTGTTTTCTCCATCATATCTGCTTTTCTGCTCTGTTTCCTTCACCTCCATCTGCTGCCTTTAACACAGCTGGGCTTGTGGAAAACCATGTAGAAATTGTGCAGCCGGTGAAGTCGTTACTTTCTCCACTGTTTCTGTTTTGCGTTTGAAAAGAGAGGTCGACACATGACCTTTGGAGGTACAGTCCGCCTCCACGTGAAGATTCTCTGTCAGCTGCTTATGTTTTAGTCAATGCTGGAGTCCGGGACACAAATAGCCCAGTGAATGAACCCTGTCACCCTGTCACCCTGTCACCCTGTCACCGGCTTGATTAATCTGTCCGGAATTAGTCACAGGTTTCCATGAATAAATAAGGGGGCTAAAAACCTGTCTAACTAAGAGGCCGGATTAAAAAATGTTTGTTTTTTTGTTTTTTTGTAGTGCTGCATGAATGAAAAAAAGAGTCGCTTGATTGCATCATTTGAAACCAGCCGCTGATTTGGATCATTGAACTAATAAAAAAGGTTTGAAAGACACGAAGATGAAATGAAATATGTGATTATGAGCCAATCGAGCAACTTGCATAAGTCATATTTAAGCCACCATATTCAGAATCAAACTCAGAATCAGCTTTAATTGCTGAATTTATGTGCATAAACAAGGAATTTGACTCACTGCATACGGACAGAAATACAAAAACAGGTGTGGAGAAAACATAAGAGCCCACTGCACTGAACCCCATTAAAAACCTCCTGGTTGTTCCTCCAAATGTTGATTTCTGAACTCTTCCTCAGTTGAAACATTAGTATTCTTGTTTCTAAATGAATATTATCTTGTTTTCTGTGCCTTATTTGAGGTCTGAAAGAACTGTATCTTTTTCAAAAGTAAAATCATAGAAACTGATAATATTTTAGTGGAGATAAAAAAAACAACTAAAGAACTCAAAAACACTAAAAACACTGTAAAGATGCTTGCAGCAGAATATCTGGTGCTCTTTGTGTCTTTCTGAGGAGAGACGCCGTCTCTGTTGAGGCTGAATTAGCGCTCTGTATCAGCGACCTGAAGACAAAAGTCTAAGCAGTTTGTGTCCAGGATGTGTGGGGTCTGCAGAGCTGTTTCCCATTTCCTGACCCTAGATCAGTACAAGTCCTGGATGGCGAGAAGGTCAGCTTTAATGATCCTCTCTGCAGAACTGTTTGTTTGCAGGCTTGTTCTGTTTGCTTAGTATGAATTATAAAAGTAGAGAGACTTGAAAATTTAAAAATGTTTTTATTGGTCAGGATGACTATAAACATTCCATGTCAGATTATTCTGCTTTTTAATTCATTGCTTTTGGTTATATTAACACCTCAGGTTGAAGACAAAGAGTCTTTGAGATATCCTCCTAGAGCTTTGCCATCTTCGAGATGCTGCTGCTGTGTGAGAATGAAGCTGAAGTTTGGGAATTACAATGCTGAACAACTCAGTTTCACTTTTATGAAAAAGCAAAGTTTCATCTCAGTTTAAATTAAGATGCACGTCGTCTTCATCCAGTTGTAGAATACAAATATCTCCTCATATTTACCCCAATCTCTCAAATAAAACACACAACATGTTAATATTATTACCTCAATATCACAACTTAAAAACAGAGTTATTTAATAAATAAAGCTGTCTTTAAGTACAGAAAGAAAAAAAAAAGTACAGCAATTTTTTATACCAGTTATGTGCTTACAGGCTAAAATATTAGCTCTTATCATCTTTCTGCTTTTTATAAAGGAGCAGAATGATGGTTACCTGTTTTATGGGGGTTTATTACTAGCTAATTAGTCGGGGCAGTTGCCCAGGTAACCATAGTCAGCTCCTGATTGGCCAATGTCAATCATATCTTGCCAGCTGGAGCTTTTTTCATGTCCAGAAAGATTTCCAAAGAGTCTATTTAGTCTTTCCTGTGAGATGGTTTTCAGCCATCTGACTGACAGTGTGCAGCAACATGTGTGGGAGGGGGCTTTAGTACTTTTAAATCCACAAATGTTGAAAACCTTGGTATTCCTGGATCCTAGTAACACACTGAACAGGCATGTTATTGCTCACTGGTAACCGCGGTAACCAGCGTAAACTCCTGCATTCACAGGGACGACACACAGCAACCGAGGGGAACCGAACCACTGCCACATCACAGCTTCTGTAATTAAATATCTCATAGATGAATCACATTATTAACCATTTATAAACTCTTCCATTTTCTTCACATTTCACTTCCATCCCCTAAATGCCCATATAAAGCCAATGGGAAGCCAGGGTACTATTGATTGTCGCTATAGTAACCGGGTGATCTCTGACAGTGCATCTCATCCTTCAAAGAGCATACTGACTTTAATCAAAAGTAGTTTGCAGTTCCAGGAAGATAGTTTTTTATTATGTTAATTTTTCTTGAACAAAAAAAAAAATGACATGAGTTTTTACAAGTGGTTGGACTCAATTAAAAATTGTAATTAATTGCAGAATATCTGGTACATTTTAATCAAAAACATATCAACAAAATAAGCAAAAAAAAGTTCATTCAAAAACCCCTTTTGTTGAT